ACGCCTGGCCAGCATTTCAAAGTGGTCTTCGACACTGGATCGGCTAATCTTTGGGTCCCATCCCAGCAATGTAGCTGGTTTGACATTGCATGTCTTGTACACAACAAGTACAACAGCAAGAAGTCCACTACTTACGAAGCCAATGGCACAAAGTTTGCCATTCGCTACGGGACTGGAAGTTTAGAGGGATTCCTGAGTACAGATGTCCTGACGGTAGGCATTTTAATTAAATTTATGTCTTATTATTCAACAGTTAGCTGATATCAAAGTGCGTAATCAGACCTTCGGGGAGGCCACTTCGCAGCCCGGTTTGGTCTTCGTTATGGCCAAATTTGATGGCATTTTGGGCATGGGATTCCGGACTATTTCCGTTGCGAATGTTGAGCCTGTTTTCGACAACATGGTCCGACAAGGCTTGCTAGAATCACCAGTCTTCGCATTTTATTTTAACAGGTATGTTATTCTGACACACACTGGATTCCTTCAGTATTCTGCCTATCACAGTCACTTCCTTTCCTAATGCTCTCTTCCAGTTTTCTCCACAAAAGTCCATTTTCAAATTTTACACTACTCTAGGAACACTTCTGCCAAAGCCGGTGGTGACTTGTTTCTGGGTGCCATTGATGACCGTTATTACACTGGACCAATAACATACACTCCTGTGACCCGTGAAGGCTACTGGGAATTCCAAGTTAACAAGTTAGTTTGAAGTTTCCTTTTCCATGCTTTGTCTTGACCTGAGGATGTCAACCGTCCACTCATTATTCCAGGGTAAGGGGCCCTGCCTGTTGGTCTAGCCGCTGGTTGGCCGTCAAGCAACCTTTAGTGAAGGTTAGCCGCAAAATCAACAGTCGATTCCGGCGAGTAGTCAGCTGTGGACGATCAGACGTAGTGCTAACAAGACAAAGGTATATTATGTTGGGCACTCGACTGTTGTATAACATGCCATGGAGTCTGTTGGGGCTGTTTGAGTATAACTTAAAGGATTCTGATAATCAAATAAATTTCTCATGCCTTCTATGCCTTCCGGGTTGGGCCTCGGTTTAAAGCACAGGATAATTACTAGGAAAGTACTTACTTGTACTTGGTAAGGC